CCACCAAAATGTTTTATCCCCGGCCGTAGGTAAAAAACTATTTTCTCTGATACTCCTTTTTTATTAACTACTCTCTCGTCTTTTACCTAAGTATCTTAAATACAAAACCCTGACCACCTTAATGCCAAAACAACACCAAAAAATTACAGACTTCAATTTCATAACAAATGTATAGCCCCAACCCCCCCCCCCCCCCCCCCCCCCCTCCCCCTTTTTTTTTTCTCCCCTAAAAACCCCTTTTTCCCCTTTTTCTTTTAAAAAAAAATTTTTAACCCCCCCTTTTTTTTTCTTTTCCCTTTTTTTGATAGCAGGAGAAGTCAGGATCACCTACCCGTTGGTCTGACCAAATAAAGATTACGGGTTTCAATATCCCAATGCCCTGGGACAAGCCATTGATGGGGCAAGACAGGTACGATCTGCAGTAATCCCCACGCGTCTCTTTACGAAACCGCCTCATCACACTTAAGGGTACTATAAGGTCGCGCAAATTACCGAAGCAAAACGTATCACGACAAGAGACACTTTGTCACAGCGAATTAGATAAACATAATAAAATCCTTGAGAACTGTAATACCACTTAATGTGTTTGTATCAGCGTATCTCCTACAGAACTGGGTTTCCTTCAAAAATTAAGTTTGCAAGGTTTTGTGTACACAATAGAATCGTTATGATACTAAAATTTAGGGCAAAATTCAAAGTTGAGACTTATAACCATGACTCCTGAACGTCTAAATACAATACGTTATTGACATAATATGGGAGTCATACTTAAGTAGTAGTAAAAATAAAATAAATCAGTGGCGTAACCCTTTTTAGGTCGGGATCTCAGATTTCTGTACTGGTTTCATGATCATTTGTCAACTAATAGGCATGTGGGTGATTAACTTCATGTGCCTGACACACGCCGTTGACTTTATGGGTCTAAGGCAAGCCGGTTTCCCCACGATGTTTTCCTTCACCGTTCGAGCGAATGTTAAATGCGAACATAGAAATAAAGTCCATTGGTGCACAGCCGGGGATCGAACCTACTACCTCAGGGATGAGAAGCCACTAGGCCACCACTGCTCATGCTTAGGTACTAGTATCCATATTTAATCAATTTTTTTAGTTTGGCTTCATTTTAATTGTTAACCGCCAATGAAGTGCAATTTTTCAAATCTGGAAAGACTCCATGGAGGCAAGGTTCAAAAATCTATTGAATTTTGACATACAAAACAGTATAAAAGTAGTTTGCGCTAAAACCCTCTTAAAATTACCCTAAGCTACCGTTTTTAAAAGCTGATCGCTTTATATAGCTGGTTTAAAACAAAAATATAAACATTTCTTCGTTAAAAAAATAAAAATAAGTAATAGATACAATTTAATGTTATAAATGTCTAATGTATAACAAGAATATAATTTTTCATAGATAATTTACAGAGACAAAATTCGTACTTGTTTGTTGGATACCGTAACGGTGTAATTAACTTTCATCGATAATTGAGTTGAGTTGGACGAAGCCGCGTTAGCTCAGTGGTTCTCAACGTGGTTGAGCGTTCGAATCCCGAGGTGGCAATTGAATTTATTGTACGCACCCGAAGAAATTGGCTCAACGTCTTGAACGAAAAATTAATTACCAAAAAAACAAAAAGTTGAAGAAGTATTATAATAGGATTCGAAAAAAATAAAGAAAAAATTAAAAAAAACATTTTATTGTATTAAAACGCGGTTAATTACTATTTATTTATTGTTATTATAGTAGCCTGACGAGAGACTTTTTATCCAGGCAAGACCTTTCTAGTAAAACATACTAGTCTGTAGTTTCTAAAATTGTATAAGGAAAGATGAGATATACATCTTTATAAAGATTTTCACATTATGATTTATTATATACTCACCATTCGATAATAATCACAGCACGCGAACCGTGTGTAGAAAGCAAATAAAATTAACGCGCCTTTTTTGACCGCCATCTTGGAAGTCAATTGTCACTTTAATAAACACATAATATTTATAATTGTATTATTTATCACTGTCTTGATCATGCTCTTAATAAAAAAACATGGTTTAATAAGGTTGTATCGTATTAAAAGCGTGTTTTTGTCAAATAAAATAAATTACATAAGAAATTTAAGTTTTAAGAAACAGACACTCAAAAATTAATTTATTACGAATTAATAAAAGATATATTATAATCGAATAATACAACAAAATACGCTTTTAATCCGATAAAACTTATTTTATTTTTTTAGATGTTTTTAATTTTACGTTATAGAAAACAGCCTAGCGTTACTCCTTGTCGTCAACTAATGTTTCCGCTGTATTGTTTTGGCCACGGTGAGTACACACGACACAGATTGAGGGGACCGCCATATCGCACATAATATCTATAGATATATCTTTTCAAATTTTTAAGAACAGTAACACAAAAGTCGAAATGATGGCGCGTTTTGTGATACGAGTGTCTGTGATGTAATAGATATGAAAATTGCTTTATTTTAATCCATCAATTAAATAACTCCATAGTTTAGTTAGTGATTATGTCCCTTTCCTGGAGACATCTCTAAGTAGCGAAAAGGCCACCCGTTGGACAACGTAATAAAGTGTATATAAATATATAAGGCTGTAATATACCCGAGGCAAAAGATACGTTCACGTAGAGAAAATACAAAGAGTATTTTGCGAGCACATTTCATACTCTCGTTTCCTTGGGAATCCGATGAAATAAAACATATCCGACCCTTTCGCGTCAGGCGTTTATCCTCAGACAGATCTTTACGTCTAAATATCACGTATACCACACCCATCTTTTAAGACAAATGATCGCATGTCATAATATCATAGATTGTTATGCAGCTATAGATAATAATTCATACATGTAAATGCGAAAGTGCGGCAGGATAATCTTTCAAATTTACGTAAATATCAATGAAATTGAATGAATACTTTTGATATGCTACCTATATATTTGAAACATTAATAATGTCTATCGACAATCATTAAATTTCGTCCCTACTGTATATTGAAATCGTTACGGAGGTTTAAACAAGCTAAATATCTATTAAACTTTAATAGATATTTAGCTTGTTTCTTTCTTATTGGAATTAAATTCATGCAAAAACAATAAAGATACCTAACTATAGAAAACTCCATGTACTATATCGTGTTAACGATTACAAAGAGATTAATAAATCGTACAATATTTTCAACAAATATGCCGCGTAAGTTTGGGCATACATCGATTGTATGGTTCGTAGGACAACATTGTAACAAGACTTTTAAAAACACTACACCTCGACGATTGATTCTATTATTATTATTTAATTAGTCGCATTTTGTATACTATTAATTAATTAAAAGCAACTATTATGAATACAATTCGGAATTTCGTGTAGGTTTATTATGCAACTTTCGTAGCAAACAGTAGACTTTAAAATAAGTGATATACGTACATAAGCCAAACAACATAATTAGCAGTACTTTCAAGTGACAAAGGGAAATTTAAGAAGTCACGCTCTGAATAGCTATTGTTTAAGTTTTCATACAACTATTGTTGTACTTTAATCACTTATTGAATGTATACTAATACCTAAAGGCCGATTTACATTATCTTAGTGTTTAGGAGAGTGCTTTAGTACAACTTGAAAGGCAAGTTCTTTAGTGCGTTGCGAGTGAACGTTTACATTTCTTCCAGTAGAGTATCATTACAGCGCCACAATGAACGCGCAACGACGTCGGCAAATACGCTCTATTCTACGCAAAATACTAACTGTAGTTATGGAACAAATAGAAGACGAGATTTTATTCGAAATAAATAAACTAAATATAAATAATAAACAAAATAGCTTCTTTTAAGGCAGTGTATGCCGAATGCCTAGCCTGTTTGTTTTTGTATAAATTGTTTTTAACGTTCCACAAACATTCGTGAACAACATATTCAGACACAAATTTGATAGTTGTACCTTCCGACCATTTTAAAAATCAAAAATCACGCACGCGTTTCACGGCACTTATGCACTATCCTAATGATTTTACTAAATTACGTGTTTACACACAACGAGGGAAGATCTCGGGGGGTGCGCGGGCGCGGGAGGGGTATCACTTGAAACAAAAAAAAAAGCGATTCTATTTTGATTCAACTTGAAAGTCAAGTAGAACCGTACTAAAGCAAGTAGAACCGTACTAAAGCAAGTAGAACCGTACTAAAGCAAGTAGCGTTTACATGTTTCAACTAAAGTAGGTACTATCCTAAACACTAAGATAATGTAAATCGGGGTAACGATTCGATAACGATGCGCCCAAATTTGGGGTTGCGGGGGTGGTGAGGAGGGGGTGTAGTAAATGCGTCTTCACCTTTAAAACGACAAAGTCTCATCAATCGCTGCGCCGTACAGCGCCATTTCAGCGACTCCTTATCCATTTTGTCTATACAGCTCTATGTAAGCTGGCCTTATCTCCGGCCGTATATAGTTTGATACTTTGCCAAACTTATAGTAGTGTGTAAAATATTGATGGTTCAAATCATGAATTCAACTGGCCCTGATTTTCATGAATTTTCTTAGAGATCAAGGACATTACCTCTTTTATATTTTTTACACAACATAGAACCTTTTTTATGTAGGTATAGTTTGGCTGAATAAAAGTGCTTTGGTTTAAAAATATTTACTATGGCTAAAATTATAAAATGTACATTTTTGCTACATAAAAGTATTTTTATATCAACTTGTATATTCATCACAATAGTAATACATATTTATTGATGTTGTCTTCGTTTAAACAAAGGTTAAATGTATCTCAAAGGTGGTGTGAATTGTTTTGTTTCTGTTTTAAAACATTTATATTTTACAATAAAGTATAACAATAAGTAAAGTAAAATATTTGTGCATAGTACAATTATTGATTCACAAAACAGATTTTCTATCAATATGATATGGACCTGAAACTGGGATCTGTAAGTAATATACTTCATTACATCAATACACAGCAATGACAAACAAAATGCAAAACTTCTATTTTTTACCCTACAGTACTTTCTCATTCTCACTGTTAAGCTGTGCATCATCCATCTCCATATTTTGATATGCTTTTTTGGATGTATCAATACCATGTCTTCTTTTCATATGTTTTTTGAAGTTAGATCCATTTGTGAAATCACGCTGACAGTACAAACACTTGTATGGCTTAGCTCCTGTGTGCTGTCGTATATGCAGGTTCAGTCGTGTTTTAAACCGGAATGTTTTATCACAATATTCACATACATATGGCATAAGATCTGTATGAATAATTGAGTGTGATTTTAGGTGCCTCTTAACTCTAAAACTTTTACCACATTGTTCACACACAAACGGTTTCACTCCAGAATGACAGCTTATGTGAGACGTCAGGTTTCCTCTTGCTTTAAATGCTAGTGGACAGTATGGACATTTGTAAGGTTTTGTATCTTCATGTGTCATCATATGAGTGCCTAGAGTACCTTTAGTGAAAAACATTTTACCACAAATATGACATGAGAAATCCCTGGTACGTTCTTTATGTACTTGACGATGTTGTTGCAAATTACTCCGAGATTTAAATTCCTTATTACAATCTTTACACTTGAGATCAAACACAGGCTCTCCTTGAGTAGATGACAGTCTTTTATGACGCTGGTTGTAGAGTAACTTGTGATCTTGTAATTGTTCTGGAGTATCAAACTCTGAACCACAATTTCTGCATTTTTTGACAAATATACCAGCATGCACTTTAGTTTTGTGTATTTTTAAATCAGATGTTAAAGTAAACAAGCTGTTACAAAACTCACAACAATATCTAAGGAACTCTTTATGTGTTCGTACATGTTTTATAAAGGTCTTAAATGAATGAACAATTTTATTACAGTCAAGGCATTTGAAAACACAGCAGCGATTATGTATTTGTTGAGAGTGTAGTTGAAGTGAGGCTATATTTTCACACTGAGCGTCACATTTTGCACATCTACACATCTGCTTATCCCAAGTTATTGTGTCAGGTAGGGGATCTATCGGTAGCTCTTTCTTTATAGAGCTATTAAAATCTTTCTTACAGATACGCTTTTGTTTTTTCCTTCTTGGTACAAGTAATGGCACGTCACTGTCTGATGTATTCCCGCTATGAATACTAAAATCACGAACTACTGTAAAATCAGGATCACTGTCATCTTCGGATTTAACATATTCCGTGAATTCTTCGCGTTCGACTTTTATTTCTGTCTTAAGGTCTTGGAACTTCTCCCAACTCTGATCAACTGGTTTACCAATGGTATTACAAGTGTTTTCCACATTTTTTAAGTTAGATTCCTGTTTGTTTGTGTCTTGTTGTGATTGAAAAATACTGTGCAGTTTTTCCTGTGCAGAACGCGTATTATGTAGAAACGACCATGTTCTTTCCAACAGATCGAAACAAGAGAAGCATATTGTATTCGGAAGGGTGCTGGATGAAGATATATCAATGTTTATCCATAGTAATTTGGTGGCCACCTTTGAACTAATTGCAACATCTTCATCAGGCGATATTAACTGGGCTTTTGGAGTGGGCTCAGCGCAAAGTCGACAATAATAATCCTCTTCCTTACTCATATCTATTGATTTAATTTTGTAAGATCATTTTACAATTAATTCCGTATTTTAAAACAAATAACACCGATATTAAAATGATCTATTTTCAAGATTTACCTAAAATGTGGGTGACCATCTAAAAAAACTTAAATTCGCAAACCTTTCGTACAATACGATATTAGCTCTTCAAAAAATTTAATTTGTATAACACGAAATCAGTCCTAACAATGAGTATTTTAAAATTTTGTAATACTTTAAAAATTACATAATTTAAATTCAATTGTCATATAAGTACCTTTTTAAATACCTCTTATCTGGCCACATATTCAACAAATGGTAACACTTTTGTTAAATCAAATTTAATAATTGAAATTGACAGCTTACGCCAGACGCCTTACGACTTACGAGTTAAATATTGTCGAGTTGATATTGCTGACCAAAAAAGAAAGGCTATATATAGTAGTTACTAGTACTTGATTAAATTTTTTATAATTTAAATTATATATCTTTAAAGTTGTTGAGTGTAATATCCTTGCTTACCTTTTAGGAGATGACATGACATGACAGGACATGAGATGGCGCTTTTATAATACAAACCAACTACATACGGTACGGTGCAAAATTTTGCGTTAACTAAATGAGAATAAGTTAATATTATATGAGAGTCGTAGCAATGTTATATTTCGAAGAAAACAACGACCAAAATTATTATAACTTTTTATTTAATTATGTCTATTTTAAAGTTAATAATAGTCTCAGTCATATTTATTACGAAATAATAATTTTACCATAACAATTAGTTATTATTAATACCAACATATTAATTATTATTATGATGAAATACGTCTGGTTATACACTTTCAACCATAGACAAAATTACTTTAGTAGGATTTGTATGGAAACTGGGATGTCACAAGCGTGAGTTTATTCCATATACTTATCATCGTGTATTCATTCTATCTAAGGCCCCTTAACCTGATGATCGTGAATTATCAACAATTTGCTTTTCACAAATAAACGCAAAAATATATTTAATTGTTATCATTTAAATTTAGAAAGAGTAAGAGTGAGGGAACGGCCTATGCAATTTACAAAAGAATGGTGACAAACGCAATTTATTTAATTACAGTCATAGATATCGTTTTGTTTGAAGCAAAATTATCTCTGGAACAGACGAGTGCCATTTAATTTAAAACCATTTAATACGTATTAATCAACTTTTTGATCATTTCAACAGTATCATTTCTAGCGATACTTTCAATATATCCAGTCGCCTTTTTCGCGTGGTCCTCATACAGCATTTTGGTTTTATCAACAGCGTCCGTTTTCAATATATTAAACTTCAGATCTTCATAATCCACATCTTTTACGTCGTTCTTGGCTTGATCGATGACTTTGTATAGTTCAGGGTTTTCTTCCAACGCGAACAGCACCGGGGCACTTGCTAGACAAAACCTGTCTTTATTGTCGGCGTTTAAGGCTTGTAGTTCCGTAGCCGCTTGCCACGCTAATCCCACATGACATCCGAAATGATAGGCGCTGTTCTGAACATCACGATTCTGCTTGCCGAGCATCATCGCCGATTGGCAACCACGGCCTAACAAACTGACTCCGTTGTAAACTGTTCTAGCAGTCCATTCCTTGCGCGGTTTCCCTAACACGTCATCAGCGGTTATGGATGTGGTGTCAAAGGTTATATCGTCGTCTGTATTTTTCTTCGGTTTTCCAGGTAACGGCATGTTCTGTTCGTCCCGTTCCCCAAAGAATTCTGATTCAGACAGATCGCGTAACGCGGTGGACACAATGTATAGGACGTCAGCGTTTTTGAGGCCGGCCAGCATTGCATTTGCAGTGACTAATAGATAGTCACCGAGTAGGATAGCGATTTTGTTCCCGAATATGGCTGATTCTGTGTTCTTTGAGCGTTTCGCGAATGGGACGTTGACGATGCCTGTAAATTGAAATTCCAATTATGTATATTTAAAAATAATAAGGAAATTAAAGATCAGAAGAGGCCTACATCAAAAGGCAATTTCTAATGATTATGTATACACATTCAAATTCAAAAATCATTTATTCACGTAGGTAACACAATGTACACTTGTGATTCGTCATTAAAGAAATAAATATTATAAATTCACATTTAAAATATTAAAGAAGGAATCGAAGGTCTGGTACCAGAGAGGCCTAGATGAAAAGGCCTTCGCCTTTACCATATTTCATTGGTTTTATTTGTTAAATCACATTATTAATTTATAATTAAGTTTTATTGACGACTTATCTTAAGTAAAATATTGTTCAAATACTGAACGAATTAAAATTTCTTAGGTAATTTTGGTATATTCAAATGAAAATAGTTCTTTATTTCAAAACTTACAACAGACTTTAAGTAATTTAAATCTATATAATTTAATATGGCAATACTATTATTAATGTTTATAAAAATAAGATCATAAATAACGTATATATACAATATATATTATAGAACAAGAAAAAACGGGAGAAGGCTCATCTGATGTAAACACACCCATGGACGCTCTCAATTCCAGAGGGCTTGCGAGTGCGTTGACGGCCTTTTAAGAATTGGTACGCTATGAATACAATAACTTGATTCACAAGGAAGGAAAATGTTTTCTATATTAATGGGGGGTATTATTAAGAACATAGTCTAATTAAAATCAACAAAAACTTTGTTCTCGGATTCATATAAAATAAAACATAAATCACTGGCGCTTTCTGTAGGTATCTGTTTCATGATCATTTGTCTAATAGGCAATCAGGTGATCAGCCTCCTGTGCCTAACGCCAGCGACTTTTTGGGTCTAAGGCAAGCCGGTTTCCTCACGATGTTTTCTTTCACCGCTTGAGCGATGTTAAATGCGCACATAGAAAGAAAGTCCATTGGGGCACAATTGGGGATCGAACTTATGACCTTAGGGATGAGAGTCACAATTATCTAATATATAAAATTCTCGTGTCACAGTTTTCGTTGCCATACTCCTCCGAAACGGCTTGACCGATTCTCATGAAATTTTGTGTGCTTATTGTGCTTATTTTTTCCCCATTGGAATTTTTTTTTATTTTTTTTTATGATACAGCATAAAAAAATACATGCAACCCCTAACTTTCACCCCTCTACGATCAACCCCTATTTTTTATTATAAATGATATACATGGCAAAATGACGTTTGCCGGATCAGCTAGTATCTTATAAATTTAATTAAAATCAGCTCAGTACCTCTGTGTATAAGATGTCCCGTCCTCATCATTTCAGTTAGTTCCGCTAATTGCCTTTGTTGATCTTCAATTAATTTCGTTTGAGATGATCTTATTTTGACGGATTTTGACAGGAGCAGCATGATGAGGCCCCAAGGTTGGAGGTTCTTGGAGTCTCCGTAGAGGACGTTTTTAGCTGTTTGCATTACGAGATGGTTGCTGCCAACCTGGAATGATGGATTTTATGATTAAATTTCTGTGAGGAAGACACATGTTAGACTTCATTGCATTGATATTTTTTAAATTCAAAAAATAATCGTTCTGTAACTATCCGAAACAATTTTTATTTTACCGGCAATTTAACCGCCAGTTAATAGTAACTCCCGATAGCGAAACAGAAATACACTATATCAAAATCGATCTTGACTGATTTAGCCAGTTTAAATTTCTGAGTGTCGATACTAATGTTTTAATAATGAAGCTTCAAATAAGTAGGTACTTTGATATGGAAACCATACGAAAACCATTTTTTGTAAGTTAAGTATTAGATACAGTTCCAATAACCGCTGTGTACTACTTCTTAAAGATACTTGTTCTATCAATTATTTTAATGAGCAGTTTATAATTTGATTATGATATATTCTATCTAATATATAAAATTCTCGTGTCGCGGTGTTTGTAGTTAAACTCCTCCGAAACGGCTAGACCGCTTCTCATGAAATTTTGTGTGCATATTGCGTATGCGTGTCTGAGAATCGGACAACATCTATTTTTCATCCCTCTAAATGTTAAGGGTCCACCCCTAAATTATTATTTTTAGAATTTTTATTATACAGCATTAAAAAATACATACAACCGCTAATTTTCACCCCTCTACGATCAACCCCTATTTTTTTATTATAAATGATATGCGTGGCAAAACGACGTTTGCCAGGTCAGCTAGTATACATATATAATTCGTAATTAATTTAAGTACTTTTAAATTGAAATCTAACTGGTATTCCTATAGCAAGAGTAATTTAAAGAATATCGAGTGTGGCGACTCGATAAAAGAGTTCAAACTCAAATTCAAAATAACTTTATTCATATAGGTAACCAAGTACACTTATGAACGTCAACAGAGAAGATGTTACATTGATTCTAAATTTACATTTACTGCCAGTTCGCAAGTCAAGGGCGTAGAGCGGGTAAGAAGAACTGGCAAGATACTCTCCGCCACTCTTTAGTTGCCACCATACGAAACCAGGCTAGAGAACTCGAGGATGTTGTCATAGGAAAATCATAGACAATTAATTAAAATCTGTGTTACATTCGTGTAGAAGCCGCCTTTGTAAATAATCGTTGAAGCGAAACACACAACAGTTATAACTGTAACGTGAAAGTTAACTTTCCATATTTTCCTTTTTTATTTTAGTTCATTGATAGACCCATTTATTGTGTTTAGAGAATTTGTCACCTCTTACCAGCTCATTTAATAGTATATAATATATATCATAATATCGTAAGTTATTGAGACATGACAAATCACAACATCGTACTGGAATTGGAATCATACAGGTATTATTATTTATATGATAGAAGCTGACCCGGCAATCAATGAGTAGATTAATACAAAATTATTAAGTTTTATTTCAGATCGAGTCTTTAAAACAGCTTGCCTCCTGAGATACGGGAAATAGTAGCAGTTGATCAGTTCCGGATGCGCCTGCGAAGATTTTTGGTAGATAAGACTCTAATTCAATAACAGCGTACGACGGTAGCGTATTTTACTTTTTATCTTTTTAATTAAAAAAAATCTTACGTAAGTGATGTGTTTTTTTATGAGAATAAACCTCTTAAAACCTTATAATTTTTAATTTAAAAGCCAAGTGTTTTAATGACGTGCTCGCAAACACAGTCAAACAAACACATCGATCTGTTAACTTAAATTTTGACGTTTTGCGGTGCTCATTCGCATCATCAACATCTTTTTTTGTTAAAAATGGTAATTTAACAAAAGAATGATGTTTATTTATAAATACATATTAATATTTTAGTATTTAGTTTATTTTAGTAGTATATATATATCAAAGTATTTAGTAGGACGAAGACAAATCCAAAAATTATAAATTTGATAATTGTATTACAATTTACAAACGGTGTAACTAGCACTTTGTTTTTTTATATTTAAAATTACATTATTAATACGTAATTTTAACCTGGGGTTTATATTTTGTCCTTAGGTTTAGTTCTTTTATTTACAATCAAGTATACAGTATTTACAGTTTTATCAACCTACAAAGTAACAATAAAAATTATCTAAAAAGAAAATCAAAACAAATTTAAAAAGTTTGATCCCTGTGGCAGTGTACCTAATATCATTACTAATTAGGTGTGACAGAGTCGTTTTACTAAAGGATCCTGAACTTTTTTAGACGTATAGCGAGATCCCCATAACTTGGAGAAGTTGGTGTTGCCTGGTACGCTGACCTACTGGATCGACCAAGTCCTTACACGCTTTAATATTTACAAGACTTACCGAAGGGGGGAACGGAGGAAGCTTTGCGACACTGTAGAACGCCACTAAAGAAAGATGTTTTTAATAGTTTAATTACTTTATTTAAATATTTTATCACAGTAAAATTGATAATATCGCTTAAGTACAATTTATGGAGACTGTCAAAATATTTTAATCCAGAAAATCAATTCAAATTGTAACGATTATTACGGATTAAAGGTTTTCGACATTTTTTAAATAGTTTATGATGCGGTGTTTATATATTTACGGTCACATAAAGGGTAAGGGTAACGCAAATGTAGATAAACACTTGTAAAATACTTGTTAATCGTTTTGTCAACAGAAAGTAGATTTTCACTTTACTATGAAAGTTTGAGGATTCTATGGATTAGAATTTTCATGGCATTTATTGGCATGTTATTTATTAAAAGTAAAAATTAAATAGGGTAACTTAAGTCACAGGCAAAGTCTTATCGCTAACAAGCGATCTCTTCCAACCTAAACAGGAATACCACGAGGAAAGAGCGTAAAAAAAATTGTATTAAATTACTTATCCAAAATACAAAATAGAAATCTCAATATTATTAGAATTATACGAATATTTACTCTTAAATGTTAAAGTAAATTAAGTAATAGACGGAAATGCAGAGTTTTTGGCATAGTGGTGAAGAAACTCTATGGTCCTGCGATCAAATTCCGTCTTACTTTTTAGTCTTACTTTAGTTACTGGTTTATAAAGAAAAAAAATAATGAAACATATACTCTATACTATATATATTTTAATATGTTTATCATCTATAATGTTTTACTGATTGTATGTATGTTTTACAATCACGCCCGCAGTATTCGTTCCCTCAGCTTTCCAATTTTGGGTAGAAAAGGGTTTGAGTAAAAAGGCGCACTTAAAAACATTGATGGCATGTAAACGAAAACGCTAAATTTATAAATTTAATTTATTATTAATGATGTTAGAAAAAATCTAATAAACATGAAAATAACTTACCAGTTTACGTAAATACAGCGCGAGATTAGCAAATTCATCGCTCAATAGACACCTTAAGTTCATGAAAGAGGTCGGATAGCCGACAACTTTCTCCGCTTCCCGAATCACATTACTCCAATTAGTGAAGGGTGGTCTTAATAAAATTAAAATTTCATCTTTAGTCAAACTTGCAACGGTTGTTTCAAATCTTTTTTGATAGAAAAATGGCAAAGCACGTCTTAAAATACGAGAGGGTAACGCCATTTTATATTTGACACTTTAAAATTCGCGCGTTCTAAAACATTCTATTATCTATGCGTGCGCTTGTTGTTATGACAACGCGTAAAGTGGTGCATTCGTCAGTGTTACCTTTGTTATATAAAAATTACCTTCATTAACACCTCACTTGTGGCGACAATGATTTTCATGTTACCCTTGTATATTGGTTCTAATTTGTAAATAAAGACACTGAAGTGACATTCATAATATTTACTTATTATATTTGTAGAATATTCGTCAGTTACTAAAATATGTAAATTACCCGTTGTAAATAACTTTTGAGAACATATAAAAATACTGTTTAACTAAATAAAATTAATATTTTAATACATAGTCAAAGATAGCAGAGCTACAATTATTCTTCGTCCATTTAAATTTTAATCTGTATGGTATTGCGTCAATGTATTTTTCCAAGGCATCATTATAATAAACAAATAAATAAATACTTCACAAACCTTTGGATTTACTAAATGATACGTTGCTTATATTTATTGTAAGTCAAACAATTGCGTAACACACAATTAATACATATGATTTACAACATATCCGGGAATTTCTTTTCCATAGCAACACTGGTCTCGACCGTGAAAAGTGGAATGCATCGGACCCATTACCTATTTTAGTAACAAACTAATGTTGATTGTATGATTCCACATTTAATACCTTAGAACATTGTAATAAAAGCCATAAAATGCGCTAAGATAAGTAAGCTAGAAACGCATTCAATTGTAATAGTTAACGATATTAAACCCTCTTCCTTTCATTCAAGGTACAAATTCCAATACAATAAAGTCTATGCGTCTAGCTTTAATAGCCAATATAAGAAGACCCGGTTTGTGACAAGTAATTAACTGTGTAGTACCAGCTAGATAGGTCAATGTCCATGGTTATTCGTTTTTTCGAAAGTTATCGAAGAATATTCATTTCTTTGGTTTTATTGGAAGCTGTCTAGCAGTAAACGTAGCTCTTCCTTACAGGTTTAAAAATTTATTTAAAATTTCTTCGTAACTACACGATCTAAAATACCCTTAAACGTGTTAGTTCTTAATTAATATTAAAAGTTACTATACAAAAACTGTGTCATATGATATTTGTTAGGTTTTAAAATTGATTTATTTATAAAAGTTTGCTATCGCTCGGCACACTTATACATTGGTAGGTACATAAGAAAAATCAAATACAAGATTTAATGTGACAAACACTTGTACGCAATAACAAACACGAACAGAAAAAAAATACATCGATTCATAAATTATAGAAACTAAAGAAAAATTGATTTCAGTGTGAGGGGAGCAACTATGGATATCAAAATAAAAATAATAATGAGACTATATAATATGAAAAGCATCAGTAAATTGTGCGTAGCGTTTAAATGTATAGATAATGTAAGTAAATGTGTAGTGTTAAACAAGAATTAACACTAATTTACAAAATACTAAAGTGCTTTTTTTACATTTTGGCGCCAAACATATTTCGCTAGCGGCCATTGTATGACGTAAGCGACTATTGCTATGCCCGCCACTGTTAGATGTATGAGTGGGAAGAAGATAGTTCCATAAAGTTTTGCGAAAATCGGATAAATCCATAGACCTCTTTCTATGTATGTATAGATCATTCTGAAATAGAATAAATATAAATTTTAGGACAAGTTACACGGATTTATTTTATGTCACAATAAAAAAATTTCTATCTTTAGATAATGTTAGTAATCTACAAAATGCCTAGGTAACCTAGGCCGTAGGCTCCTGACTCGTACTTAAACAGACGAAATAACTGCGTGTTGTTTTGTTAGGCAAACAACTTCCACAGATAATAAACTACTAACATTACAAATAATATAATTTATCCACACGGTGGCGTTCCTAAATTATTGCGCCTGACGTTATGACGGCGAAGATTTGCTTGTTCACAAAACAACGAGATAGATTTTCAAATAAAATATTTAGTTCTTAAATTATAATTAAACGTGTTTTACTATGTAATACTCTATTTTTTAATGAGCTCTCGGCTTATCAAATAAACTGCCAAATTATAAAATAAAAAGTACTTACACAATAAAATAAAAAGCGAAATAAAATAAGAGATGGTAAACATTTTTCTTATGTGATCTGGGCAGTCTTGTCGGTCTATATACTACTTCCCATACAGATATAGGTACTATTAGTGTATGCATTATATGGTTAGATATAGGGTGAAGTAATTCAGCTGTCTGTTCAGGGAATATTAGGTCTACATCATATAAACAGAGCGACCAAAATACAATAGCTACAACCTGAAACCAAAATATAGAATTTCAATTTTAAAAAGATGATACCGGTAACTATCCTAAGCGTCTCAAATTTTAAATCCGGCCGTATATCGGATAAGAAACGTGTATCCGGCCGGATACCGGATTTCAAATAAATACGATATGAAGATTGAAGGCACATTATTTTACATAGATAATAATGCATTTTTAACAGAGCAAAAAATTTATACTTAAACTGCATTAAGGGCAAATTATTTTAATGTTAAAAGGCAACAGAAGGCTTGTCAAATTGGTGAGATTATCAGCAACATACAACTGTAAGGCTCACTTTTATTCTAATAGACGTTCTATACCTAACTTTAAATTTATAGAAAAAAACACTAATAAAATTACCACAATCTCAAACACCACAAAACTTTTTTTCATAACCTCTTCTTAAGGTCAGTACTCACATACGGTATTACTCGATCGAGCTAAACTGTCGAGTAAAACCCATGGCATGAGCTTTCGTCCACACATTGAGCATTGATCTATCGACTGAGGCGCGCCGTTCAGTATTCATCGAACCGTTCGAGCCAAAGGATGTCTGTGCAACAAAGGAGTCGGTGGCTGTATTTAGCAAGTCTCACAGTGCTTTATAAGAAAATCAAAGAAAATGAAAAGAAAAAAACGTTAAGCACAGGTAGTAATTTATCATAACATTCATTTCTCTTATTTTTGTGGGAGTAATCTTAGGACTTGACATTCCATAAACACTCACACTGTCTATATGTGTTAATAAAGTCTTCTATAGCTTTGCTTTTAGCTATAGCTTTTGGAATAAACTCGCAAATCCATTTCTCTTAAATACACGTGTTTCAATCACGATAAACAATAACAGACTGACGCTCGCCTCGCGCCACTCGCAGTCACGTACACACGTTCGAGTCAATATTGACGGCTCGCTTCGAGTAGGTTTGAAAGAAATTACTTACATTTAATTCCATCGAGCCGGCTCGGTGCGAGCCTTCGAGCTGTGAGTTTTGCGGTCCACACGTTGATTTTTACTCGACTTCGAGTAAAACTATCGAGTAATCCCGTATGTGGGTACTGGCCTTTATCGTATTTGTAATCAATTTAAGACTCGAGAAGACAATAACGCCCTAATGTCACTCATAAACGAAAGGGCGGGAAAACCGAGTCTTCCCGATTGTATAGTGATGCACTCGGCACTTCGGCAGATCGGCTATCCGGCACAAAATCATCCGTTTCATATCTACTTTAAACAGATTAGGGTTTAAAAATTCTTATTTTCAATGTAAATTCGTCAAAATATGCCTTCGCACAGTAATAATATATTTACCCAACAAGATGGCCACAGAATACTGGAAAACAAAACATTTCTAAATCCATTTACATAACGAATTGTGTTTTTCCTATTGGTTGTGTTTTCCAACATTAATTCACATATCAAACTTACAGCAGAGTATATCAATTGCAAAATCTGAAAATATAATAAAAAATATTTAAGTGGGTGATATTTCCGAACCACTTTAAGGAGAGCCTAAAGAAGATTCTAGGCTAGGCTCTCTTTAAATTGGATCTAAAATCGTGGGTATTGTGTGTCCATAGGTGGTGATATTAGTACATGGTCACGTAGGATAAAATTTGAGAAGAGAATTTTGTTCACTCAGGTTTTCTTAGTTTTATAAGCGTGGCGATTACCTAAATCGTTGGAGTTCCTCCCCGAGAGTATATCCAGACGCAGGCACTCTCTTCACCATCTTAAGCATATCAGGAACGATACTTAGCGTTATGACTCCCGTATATCTAAATACATTTTGACTTACAGACTTAGCGGTAAGTCTAGTTGCCGAATCTTACCCTTGTCAATGATGTATTTCAATTGCGAACTCACTTCATTCAAACTAGTAATTACGCGCCTACGTACAATCACAGAGCAATATATTGGTCAGCAAAACGTTGCGTTTATATTCAACGAAGGATTTTTTATTTAAATGTGAGTTTAGTATCCACGTCAATGATATTTTAAGAACACATATTTGTGCCCAGAATGTTGCCATGAGAAAAGATGAAATGAGAAAATTTTAGGGAAAGCCTACGTCGCCGATTACAAAAGATTATAAATAAGCTTCTATTCGAGTTCTGTACAATCGGTATTACATTAAGTCCATGTCATGTTTAACATTAGTAAGCGACCTCCAACGGCGGCCTTTTCCAAATTCTTCCACTTATCTCTCATCTTCGCCACCATTTTCCAATCCTTAATCCTCTTTCTCGTAAAAATCGTAAATTAACATAATTCACCAAGAACAAAAGGGTTTTATTGTTTGATCCCTATATGCATTTGTTATCTGTGAATTGTCTATTGCAAGTTGTCAAACATGAATAATTATTAAACAATTAAGCTTACCAAGGTCCAGATCGTAAAGAATCTCGGTTGTAAATTATTAAACTTCATAAGTTTTGGATTATCGTAGACCCTTGGGGATATATGTATTCCCATATATATCATATTAGCGATATGCATACATATTGCTAATGAATATCCGAAAATTCTATGTTTTCTGTATTCCATGACGCTGCAACATTAAATTGACAATAACACAAATAAACATTTCCAGACCGATTCAACCATGGCGTTTTTATTGAGAATGATTATTTACCCCGTCAAAATTAAAATCGCATCAAATATGATAATGTGCAATGCAAATATGTATGATATGTATGATATGTA